TCTATCTATCTATCTATCTATCTATTTATTTATCTGTCTGTCTGTCTGTTTGTTTGTTTGTTTGTTTATTTAACGTTTACAGCATGTGGTCTTCCTAGGTGGTCTCCCATCCAAGTTCTAACCAGGCCCGACCCTGTTTAGCTTCTGAGATCAGATGGGATCGGGCACGTTCAGGGTGGCATGGCCGTAGACCAGATCGTAAATTATTTAATCAGGCCTTTATTGTTGGCATCTAGACTGTCTCCAGGCTTCTGTTATTCCCGGCAACAGCCGCCGTGAACAACCTTGCACTCCCTCATCCACACTCCCTCATCCACACACACGTGACCGTCTCTGCAGGATGAATTCTAGCTGTGGCTTACCAGGTGTGAGAGCAGTGAGGCCACACAGGGAGTGTAACCCGTAAGGCGGGAAACGCTTTCTGTTCTTCAGGCTCCCCCTTTTGTCTGGGCCACAGCTGTCCAGTGACACATGCCCACAGTGTCCTTACTTGTCTCTTTTGCTGACAAGGGTAAAGCCTTCAGTCTCCACATGAGCCTTCTCAGGCTTGCCCAGCCCCACACCCCCTCATTGTCTAGAGCTCCACACACTCCATCGGGCGGGGTGGTCTGACCCCTGCTTCCCTTCCAAGCTCTAGAATATGAAGACATTGGTATGTGAAGCTTTTGGGAACTGCACATCTGTGATTCTGGGATAGTTCAGATGAGTTATCATTTACTAACAGACACTAACAAGTCCAGTGAAGGCAAGAATCCTTGCCATCAAACAAGCGGCCTGAGCAGCAGGACAAAGGGGCCTGTGTAGAATGAATTCTAAATAAATACCACAGGCCCACCTCACCCCCAGGCCATTAACCCCGAGGAGTACTCTAGCTGACAAACCTGAACAAACCAAAGCGAAGGTCAAGATGCAGTGTCCTCTCTCACTGTGGGATAGAGGGTGACGCGGAGCAGCTGGCACCAGTGCCAGGTCCCAGGGGCACAGGGCCCGTGCCCACCTCCCCGATTCCCAGCCAGCTCCCTCACCGCCTGTTTCAGTCATCCCAAAGCCCACTTCTCAAAAGACTGTGCTCAGCTAACTCTCCCTGCTCCCTGGGAGGAAACCGGTTCCCAGAGAAAACTGATTCCGCATCGTGACCTGCGGCCTTTTGCTGCGTTCCCTCGGGGACTCAAGCTGGGGAGTTGCTGTCTTTCTCTGGCACCCTCCTCCCTCTCTTCTGCTTGGCCGGCTCAGCATCTGCTCTGTTCCTCCTCGTTAACACTTACGTAAACCTCCTGCTTCCTCCCTGATTCTGGGCCTCATAGCTGTATGCAGACCCCTGCGGTCACTCCAGATTTGGCAGGTGACTGCCATGTTCAGTCCCAGAGGTGCCTGGCCCTCCTCCACCCAAGCAGGGAGACGATTCTGTTCACACCTGATAAGGCTGACGCCAAAGTGAGGTCAGAGTCTGGGGAGGAGATGGCCAGGCCTGGGGACTGATAACCTGAGGATGCTCTGGATCCTGGTGTCTCTTGGAACAAAAATACCTGCATGAGCAAAAACCAAACTCAGGAGAAGGAGGAGAAAGGAACAGGACACAGAAACGAACCCTGCGAAGGGGACCTGTGAGGTGGCCTTGGGGTCTCTGCCAGGGGGTCTCCTTGAGGCCTCCATCTGCCCACACTCACAGCCTTTATCTCCAAAGTTGCAGACACCAGAGCATTTTATCTCTCACTTCCTGCATCTCGGATGCTTGAGCTGTTGGAGAGTTGCACAATGCCATGGGTCCTGTTTACTTCCTGCCCAAGTCCCTTACTCCTGGAGAGGTGGACAAGGTTTCTCTCAATCTTCCTGCTTAAAAATAGACCTTTAACAAATATGCATTAGTTCATGGCTTAAAACATCAAGACTTTACTTCTTGGGTGGGACTTAGTTTGGACAATAATAAATGGCTACTCTTGACTGAGCATCATCATACTTTCGTTACTCAACCGGAGCTGTCAAGATCAAAACTTCCTCTCCTCTGTTGGTTGTGGGTCTGCGATGGGCCCCTGCACCAGGGCCGTCTCTGGGCACTGTGCGGAAAGCAGGCATCAGCAGACCACTGCCAGTAAATGCAGCGCCACTGCCAGTAAATGCAGTGTGCATTTGGTTTTGCACATACCGGCCTCCCCCCAGAGGCTCACTGGTGGGAGATTAAATGAGTGCAAACCTCTCCCCTACTCCCCTGGCATGAACTGGGGCTTGTCCTGGGATAGTGAGAGAGAGAGAGAGAGGCTCACGGAATTGTTGGCTGAGTATTCCTAAGGCTTCTTAAATGGCACTAAAAAGATCGTAAAAATAATAAACTGTCAGAGTCTTTCTCTTTATTCTAATCTCGAGCCTCTTACAAACGATGTGGCTGTGGGCAGTTGGGGTAAATTATATAACCTCCCTGCGGCTCATGTTTTCATTTTTAAACTGGGATAAAACCCAGTGCCTTGTGCAGTGCTTGCACATAGAAAGGCCTCAATAAATGCTCGATGCGCGAATGAGTGAATTAGAGACTGTTCTACTTATTTTGCATCTCCTGTAGCACCTAGCATATTCTGGACTTGTGTGCGATTAATGAATACTTGTGATTTTGAGGTTGTCTTTATAGTTAAGAATGAGGACATACCCCATAAAAAAAAACCAAAAAAAAAAAAAAAAAAAACATTAGCTCCACTTAAACTCCTGTTAAGAGAGCCTATGATTTGCTGCAGGACCCACAGGGAGTTGTGGTATTGGAATTAATAATAAAGATTTGTTAATTCTCTGCTTTTGCCCCGGCTGCCTTCCAAGACGTGATGTGGAGTCCTGCTGTTTCTGCTCCAGATAAATCAATGATAATCTTCTACCCAGTGAGGGGCAAGTCACGGGGACGTACTCCTGTGTCAACGGCGCTGCTAAAATCAAATTTCTTGGAACCCATTTCCAAGAGGCTTTGAATTTGCCAGATTGCTTGCTGCGCCTAAAATACTGCACACATGTGGTGACCTTGACTTGGCTGTTTCCATGAAGCTTCTTTTTCCTTCAGCCACAGCAGACATGTCCAAGTCACACGGCAGGGATGCGACTTCAGTCTCTGTCTTTCCCCTAATGATCGCTGTCCGGGTCTGGCCCATTCTCTGTGCCCCACTCACTCCCTGGCACTGATTCCGCTCTGATGAGAGCAGAGAGGGCTGTGCAGGGGAGGAAGAGATATGCTGCACGAGCCCGCGGAGCGCTGAAGTTTTCTTTTCTCTTCTTGGCTTCTACGTGGGGACAGGTTTTGGGTAGAATTTTTTTCTTCCACCTTCTGTTCACTCGTCCATTTGTTTATTCCTTTGTTTAGTCATCCACTTATTGAAAATGCAGGAACTGAGTCCTCGTGGAATGGAAGCATAGTGGCGGCTGTGGGGGTACACAGAGAGGGGGCGAGATGTGGACTTGGCTTTTGCAGAGCTGAATGCAGGCAGAGAAAAGAGACGTGAACCTAAATAGTGATAACACCCCCACATGCTAACAGTGATTTTTTTTTTCCAGATGGCAGATTTAAGAATGATTTTTATTTTCTTCTTTGTGGGTGTTTGTGTTTCTAATTTTTCATTCAATGTACATATATTAGTATTTGTGTAATAAAAGTTATTCAAATGGTGAATACATGGTAAACAGGTGCTAAGTGCACAAGGGAGGTACAGATGATAAAAACTGGGAGAGCGGAGAGGCGGAAAGTGTTATTTTCTTCTATCGTTGGAGAAGGTCATCATCGAGTGGGGCCTTGAAGTTGGAGGGAGATTTTGCAGTGGACATCTGTGGGATGGTCTGCTCAGCACACCTCTCTTTTTTTCTATTTCCCTTCTCTTCTGCCCACATGGGGCTGCCTGCTTATCGGATGACCTTGCCCTCATTCTCATGGTATCACATTAGGTCCGTCTTGGAAGGAAGCAGGAAAGCTAGAGGCACAGGTTTCTGAGGTGAAGGCTAGAGGCTCTCTCCTTGCTCTCTCATTCTAGAGATGCTCCTAGTAAGCAAGGACGGACAGCCAGAAGCCAGGCCTCAGACAATTTCAGCTTTGTCACATACTGACAATCGGCACACTCAAGAAATTTCAATCTCTCGTCTTCTGGCCCCCATCTCATCCCAGCTTCAACATCTTGTCTGCCCAGGAAAAGTGTTCAGAGAATATGGACTGCCACACAGCTCAGGCATTTCTCCTCAGGGGGCCCTGACTCCAAACCCGTGCTTCAGCCCTAATGGATCAGCCTGGCTATGGCGCTCTGGTTGAGATTGGGATCATCCAGCCTCATGGGTAGAGTCAGCAAGACCTCATGGGCTGTTTCTGTTTTGCGTTCACTTAGTTACCTTGGCAACAGAAAACAAAGAGAGGCAAAGCACCAGCTACTACAGCCTCCATCCATCGATCTATCCATCGATCCATAGAGAGATGTGAGGAGTGGAGGGAGCATTGGCCTGGAAGTCAGGAGGCCAGGTTCCTGCCTGGGCAATGTGGGCCACTGGCTGGCTGCTCCCCACTAGTCGCTTCCTCCCTGGGCCTATTCTAGACAAAACAGGGGCCTATTCTAGACTTAATGTCTTAGGGATGCCATAGAGAAGCATAGGCCTCTGGGGAGAAGACCCTACTGTTTCCACTCTCAGTGGCTTCAGGCATAGGAACTGTATCAGGGAGTAACTATTTGCCAGCCATTCTCCTGTAACTTAACTTGTCACTCGCCACCTGTAACCAGAATGTTTGCAGACCAAGCAAATGATTAAGCTCCAAGGAGGCTGGCACTTGGCAGTTCTGCCAGGATGGATATTCCTTTAGCTGGGGTAGGAGGCCAATCTGGCTTTGGTCCTGGATCATGAGCATGTAGAGGAAGGAAGATTTAAAAAATTAAACACAAATATGAGCAGCTCAACTATAAAGATATCTGTAATAATAAAAATGATTCCTTCAGCATGGTCTTTAACATTTTTAGAAACCTTCCGCATCTATTTTCTTGTCATGTTCTCATAACCATCCAGTGAGGCAGAAGGAGCAGATATTATGATCTCCATGTTGCAGTGGAAGGCACTGAGGTGCAGAGAGGCTGAAGATCCTGGGGTCTCTTGGAGAGTCGCTGAGCTGGACCTGGACCTCTGTCCTTTGCCTCCTGGCCTCGGTACTTTGTGTTGGACATGACTGATGAGAGCTCTCATGAAGCAAAGGATTCTCCAATCTTGTTTGTGGCCATGATTCTTGGATTTAACATATGTCAGACACCTTTCTGAAGAAGAAAGAAAATCAAGATTCATTTGACAAATAATTTTATTGAGCACCTACTATTTGCCAAGCTCCGGGCTAGGCACTGAGGATTCAAAAGGGAAGGATGTGCCCTTAACTCCTGAGCAGTTCCACCCGTCAGGCACTTACTTTTGCTTAATTAAACCTCCCATGTTGGTACTGGATAGAATTCACCAACCATGAGAACTCCAAAGTGGTATCTCTCACTCCATAATCATTTTTGTACCCCAGCAGAATTCCACCAGGCTGCATCTATATGATAGGAAAAAGCATACTTCTTCTAAAATTGGTGGAGAATAACCAGGAATAGCTGGTTAGATGATTTCAAAGATGAAAACCCTTAAGCACATGTTAAAGCCACCTTTGGCTCTGGGACAAGCAAGGCCTGGGCTGCAGGGAGGTGAGAGGAAGTGCCCAGCTTGGCGGGGAAGTGCTTTCAGGAAAGCCATTGGGGGCAGCCTCCTGGACAAAGGCGAGGAGCTGACAGGGAGTAGAGAGGCAGCCTTGAGAACAGCAGCTGCAAATGGATGTTGGAAGCAAACTTGAAGCCCTTTCTTTGAACACACACAGCCATTAAATTCCTGTTTCCACAGATGGGGACTTAGGGGCCACCCCCCATCTACAGCAAATCATTTTCTGAATCGATGTCTAGAATCTTAAAGCCAGAGGCCTAAAGGTCCGAACCAGCTTGACAATAAGGGGTCTGTGCCTAAGCCTGAGGAAAACATTTTATCATTTTACCTCTTTCCTTACACTGGCCCCACCATGCCTTGTTCTATAAACAGAAAAAGTATTCAACAGCTTTTTAGACTCTCTTAAAGCAGCTTTTATCTGCTCAGTGAAATGACTGAGAGGGGACGAATTTCCACACGAAGAACCCAAACTTTCCAGGCCCAAATGAGGTTCTAGTAATACACTCTTAACACACAGCAAATAACCTCTTAGATTTCTGCTTTCCTCTGCAGAATTTGTAGCCCATACACATACTGTGGGTTAAACTCCACAGACCTGAAGACTCAAGTGAAATGGATTCAGAAAAACTCTCGGTTGAGTGAGGTCATGATACAAACAGGAACATCAGAAGGCAAATTAAGTCCCACATGGTTTCAGTTTTAATGTACAGGGACATAACCCACAACACAGGAAAAAAAATTCCTTGCTTTATTTTGTTTTGCTGATTAAGGCCACCTTTACATTAGCTCATCTTTAAAACAGCAAAGAAATGCCTTAAGAGCCAGACTACTGGTGCAAATGACAAGTGGAATTGAATTGCCCTCATGTTATAAACACAGAAAATTAGACCTGGAAATTGAAAGAGGCCTTAAAAATCATCTAACTCTCTGACTTTATTTTTCCATGAAGTATCTGAAGCCTCTGTCATAAAGATAATAAGTGTGGTTAGCTACCATTCTAAAACCTGCCACTTGTGGAAGGAATTTGTATTAGTTTGCTGGGGTGGCTTTAACAGGGGACCATAATCTTGGTGGCTTGAACAAAGATTTGTCTCACAGTTCTAGGGGGCTAGAAGTTCGAGGTAAAGCTGTCAGGGTTAATTCCT